CAGTTTTACGTCCAAAGATTTGAATTTATTCTCTATATCTAACCATCTTTTGTATGCCACCTATATGATATAATCGTCTGATTTCCTTAAATTTTTACACAAAATTGTAGAATAAAATAAAAAAAGTCTTGCGGTATTTTCGCAAGTTTTCGCTGCAAGCGCGTAGTTCTAGTTTTAATTGTCGGACCTGAAGATACTACACCTTTTTGGAAAACTCTTTTCACACGGAAAAACGCGTTTGATTGATTGTTATTTCTTTTAAGTAGTTCGTGAGTTATAGTTTCGCCAACATGGAGCAAAATAAAGAGAAAATACGTCATATTTTACAGTACTACTACGATAAAGGCAAAAATGCATCTCAAGCCCCTTATAAAATTTGTGCAGTTTGTGGACCTGACACAGTTTAAATTTCCACCGCACAACGATGGTTTCAACGTTTTCGTTATGGTGTGGAGGTGGTCGAAGATGCACCACGCTCCGGAAGGCCTGTCGTGGAAAATTGCGATAAAATCGCTAAATGGTCGACAGAGATCAGCATAGTACCAGCCGTAGCATTGGTCAAGAGCTGGGCATGAGTCATCAAACCGTAATAAACCATTTAAAGAAGCTTGGAGTCACTAAGAAGCTCGATGTATGGATGCCACACGAATTGACGCAAAAAACATCTTCGACCGTATCGATGCATGCGAATCGCCTCTGAATCGCAACAAAATCGACATATTTTTGAAGCGTATGGTGACTGGCGATGAAAAGTGGATCACTTACGACAACGTAAGGCGCAAACGGTCGTGGTCGAAAATCGGTGAAGCGGACCAGACGGTGGCCAAGCCTGGATTGACGGCCAGGGAGGCTCTTCTGTGTGTTTGGTGGGATTGGCAGGGAATCATGCACTATGGACTTTTCCCCTATTTGACATAAATCGCAGTATTTTTACCAATTTTATAAACAATTGAAAATTCAATAAAAATACCGCAAGACTTTTTTGACAACCTAATATCTCAAATTTGATGACAATCTGTTGAAAACTAAAAAACATAATTTTTAACTGTATTAATTTTTCGATCTTTCTTATGGCAGCTATATAATATAGTAGTCCGATATTTATAAAACTTTACAAATTTGTAAAATAAAATAAAATGGCTAAATCTTAAATTTGATAAAATTCCGTTAAAAACTACACCGGATGGTGTACATGCTGCACACCACATTCAAAATTCAAAAATAAAATTTGTTTATAAACTATATAAATATGGCTATAACGTGACGTAGTCGTTTTTGAAAAAAAAAATTTTTGAGCAAGAGGAAGCACTTTGACAAATGGCAAATGGCAGCACTTTTTTTAGACAAAATTTTTGTTTCAAAAATTTATAACTTTAAGAAAAAAATCATCGACAAAATCCTACATCATGTTATAGAGAAGCTGTGTAAAAAAATGTGAAGAAAATAGGTCTAGCAATTTTTGAGAAATCATGTACACCATTTTAAAAAACTAAATTTTGGGTAAAACGCAAAAGAATATAAAGAAAGTACTCTAAGGTATACCGGCAGCGTTCATTTCTAATGGCTGTAAAATCCACAAATAAAGAGATATTTTTAAGCCCAATGTCTTAAGGGGTTATATACAGTTAGAGGGCAAAAAAAAAAGAATTTTTCAGAGTGTTTTCTGAAGATACTTTTTAACTTATTGATCCCAAAATTTATACACATATTAAAGTATCTTTTAATTGTATTTTAAGAGTTAGAACTAGTAAAAATATTTATTTGGAAAAGAGTTACACCTGTTCTCTGGGAGCTCCTCTGAAAAAAGACGTTTTGCGGTGACCACTATATGTCGGAACTGGATCATCCGAAACTAAAAAACCAAACACATTTCGTTAGAGTAATGTCAAATCTAGTAATTAATCGAAGGAATAAGCAAAATAATTTTCTTTTACAAATTGCAGTTTCGAAAAAAAAAAATCGATTTTTCGCCGAAATTTCCGCCTTAAATTGTTTATAGAAAATAAAATATTTATTGGAAAGAAAAAATATATATTATATTTTCAGTTTTACATTCACAGATTTGCATTTTTGATCCACATCTAACGATCGTTTGTATGGCACCTATGTGATATACTCCTCCGATTTTCATAAGATTTGACACAAAATTTAAGACTGATATAAAATGGCTATATCTCAAATTTAATGAAAATCTTTTGAAAACTGAAAACGTTATAATTTTTAATTGTATTCATTTCTTGATCGTTCCTATGGCAGCTATGTGATATAGTCATCCGATCCGGCCCGTTCCGACATATATACGAGTGAGAGTATATAGAAGACTAACTGCAAAGTTTCATTCAGATAGCTTCAAAACTGAGGGACTAGTTTGCGTAGAAACGGACAAACTGACAGACGGACGGACAGACGGACATGGCTAGATCGACTCGGCTGTTGATCCTGATCCTGCCTCCTTCACTGCGTTGCAAACCTCTGACTGAAATTATAATACCCTGCAAGGGTATAACAAAAAGATTTTTTTTAAATGTCAGGGTGGTCAACACCCTTAAATCAGCATCCCAGGTGAAGCCTCGAAGGGCAAACAGCAAAAAGTTATTTTCGACAGATTCAATGCGATTACTATGGACTCCGAATTAAGAACTCCAAACCAAGAACAATACTCCAAAAGGCGAACCAATGACGTGAAAAGCGTCTTTGTTACATAAGGAGAATCGAATTCCTTCGACCACCTTTTAATAAATTCCAGCACCATGCGAGAAATATGCTCGCAGGACGAAAGTTTAGGATTTAATCGGACACCTAGATCGTCAACAAGAGAGATTCTCTCGTTAACCATATAAGTGGTAAACAGGGGAGTGACACGTGAAAATATCATCAGTTTGCATTTAGAGCTGTTGGGATGTAAAGAGTTGGCGTGACACCACGCATGAAAGTTGTCAAGATCCATCCCTATCCCTATACTGCACGCAAAGTTTAATGTCGTCAGCATACATAAGTATTCTAGATTTTGTTAGAACCTGCGGTAGGTCATTGATAAACAGTCTGAATAATAATGCACCAAGGTGACTAACTTGTAGGACGACAGACGTGACACTGAGGCGATTGGATAGAGCATTTTTTAAAAGAACCTTTTGAGTCTGTCACTAAGATAACTCGAAATCCACTTGAGATCACCAGGAAACCCTATCAGTTTCAGTAAACAGAATTATCTGGGATGCAAATGAGAAGCTATCAGAATACAGATTAACCGTACAAGCTTCAGACACTACCAGTTTCGAAATAAGGTAGGAGTCGACAGCAATTAAAATTCCACCTCCTCGCTGGAAAAGCCGGTCTGATCTATAAATGGCGTACTTAACCGGAAGAATTTCGGAGCAGAGTATCTCCGGCTTCAACCAAGTTTCAGTAAACACAATTATCTGGGATGCAAAAGAGTTTATCTGATAGGGACTGCAGGTACAACAGTGTATACTGTAGCTTGTGCCGGCATGGATATTGGTACACCCACAGGCCGTGTTCATTTTTTTTTAGTCACGAACTCCTTAACTACTACGTGCTCGAGCCAGAAGTCACCCGAGCAAAAAGTGTCAAACGTTTGAATGAGACACTTATCTTAAATTATGAAATGTTTCTGGCATATAAAAATTTTAATTTTTCCACCATGACATTATCGGCTTATGTTTTGCCTTTTATATAGGCTAGAACATCTTCCGATCCGAGATTAGGGGGAAGCCTCGAAACAAATATAGTTTTCGATGGTGGAACTGCTGTTAGGGTCTAGCGTAACGTATTGTTACTAACATCGACCGGTAGTCCGGGCGTTAATGGACCCTGGGTCATTATTTAGATGAAATCAAGCGGAGTCAATGATTCTGACACCGCAGCGGACAAAACGGAAATTACTGGCAAAGCTGTTACCGGTATCCCCACGCTGGATTCTGTTTCCGAATCCTTTTTCGCTCCAGATCTCAGAACCATCGGTCTTGGTACTGGATTCAGAAGCTAAGGCGCGGGGCAGGTAATGGGTTGCTGTGACAGTTGCTGCCGACCAGTAGCGGGTTTATTGCGTTTTGGCGATTTGTTTAAGAACTTCATACTATTAAACTGAGTGTCTAGCGCGGAGAGCAAGTCGTTCGCTTTGCAAAAGATGACCATAAAATCATTTAATCCGCTCCTGGTCTGGCGCATGAAGGACAACTTTACCATCTCAGCCGATCAACAGGCCTCACAACAATAATGGAATCCCTTTTTTATTGGAAATTGCATCAGCTATGCGACCTGTAACCTTAATGCATTTTGCATGCAGTACCGCGTTGCAAAGCCAGCAATGGAGACTTGGCTGATCAGCCAAAAAGACTTTACGGCAATTTTTAATTGCACGGACGATACCTGAAGACATTATCACAGGCACTTGAACCTCTTTGCACGTAAACAAATCCGAAAAAAAATTCGGAGGAGCGGGAGTGTAAGAGGGAGAGAGAGAGCAAGAGAACAATAGAGCGGGAGCTTCAAACCACTTAGCTGCAGCCAAAAGCAAACGACACTTAAGCGGGCCGAAAAAGAAGAACGGGATGAGAACAACAGTAAAGTAAGAAAACCGTCTCTGCACAAATCTAAAAGTAGAAATAAATATATATAAACTACACAGAAAAGCACATGCACGCGCGGTAGTTAAACGGTGTATGTAATTAACCATATTTAATAAAGAATTGATAGAAAGCCCGGTGGTTTCAAACAAACACAAAAATTCGGAGTGCAAAACAAAAACACGACCGTTTGCTATAAAGTGATAGACGACAATATACTTTATATGGTCGGAGGTGACTCCTTCACTGCGTTCCAAACTTTGGACCGAAATTAGAATACCCTGCAAGGTTATAAAGGGGTCACATGGGGTGATCTCCTTAATTCTGATCATGGGGATAATTTTCATTATAACATACAGGTTTATTTTCCGCCCATAAGTATAATATTTTGTCAATGTATTGCAAATGAATTACCTGTAAATAATAACACTCTCTGGTAAATAGCCATTTCGTTTTTCGTACATTTTTAGTGCATCTTCAAAACAGGCAGTTAGCCCATTAACGATTTCTTCACATCTTGTTTGTACTATAGCTTTGCTGTACCATTGTGTATACGATGAATTCATAGACGCCACAAATGCTGAAATAAAAAAGTTTTATATAAACTTATATACATTTTGTAATCCTTAAAAAAAAGTTTAAGGTTCCAAAGGGAAAAGGCGTATAAAACAATCCCAACCCTTATAAAAGGAAGCAGAGCCATTCCCATTCAAATTAATTTTATTATTCTTATTAATTCCTTGAAGGGTATAAATTATAATATTAATTTTAGTTTGAAGAAGCCATGGATGTATCCTAGCCTGCCTATCCTAGCCTTTTAGGTTCATAGATCTATACAGTAATGCAACACTACAGCATTACTGTATAGATCTATGAACCTAAAAATAATTCACCAACTTTTAGATGTACAGTATAGTTGTAGGATGTATCAATCTAGTATCGATTCATACAACAGGATAATGACCCCAAGCATACTTCGCTTAGTTTGAAGCTATGGTTGCTTTTTTACACCAAAAATCAACTGCATTCATCGCCTCAGTCGCAGGACTTAAGCCCCATAGAGGATCTGTGGGTTTTTCTGGAGCGCAGGATTCGTCTTCGAACAATTACATCGAAGGATACGTTGAAGGATGTGATTTTGGATGAGTGGAGTAAAATACCACCTGAATTCATCGAAAAATTGGGTTATTCAATTCCAAAACGCTTAAATGAGACAATAGATAGAAATGGGTATTCTACTTTTTACTAATTTTATCAATGCCTTAACAATAAATGTTTTTTTTTTTAACTTAATTGAATTTTGTACGCACACTTTTTCTTGCCCGAAAACATGGGTATTTTTTGTTTTTTAATTTTAATTAAAAAAGTTGTGGACGGAAATAAATAAAGACTGGCTATAATTTTTAATAATAGATGTGTCGTTATTTTCCATACAACTATTTTTATTTAACATCAAAGTTGCGCGTTAAGTTTGTACGCACACTTTTTCTGGTGAGTGTATATAAATGAATAACATGAAAACGACTTGACCGATTTGGTTGATTTTTTTTTTGTAGTTTTCTAATACTCAGTAAAAGGATCTTACGGAAACAAATATTAAGAAAATCTCTCAGAAAGATTGAAAAATAAACATTAAAATTTGCATATTTACAAAAAAAAACTCTCATTGAGTATGATCGGTTTGGTTTGATTAACAACAATCAAACCGATCAAAACTCAACACAGCGGTTCGTTACAACACTTTCGATCAAGCTTCGGGCACAATACAAACAAGTTCGTCCGGTTGACTTGATTTGTTCTGCTGGCTGATTCAAGCTGATTGGTTGGTACCGGTATGATGATCGGAACTGATCGTGGAGAAAAATAACAATCGAGCTCAACGATTCATATGGCCATTTTCGATTTAAATTTTATCAAAATCGATATAGAAGATATAGAGGAAATGCAAAACTGGGAATGTAAAACTTTAAATATAATACGTATAGATAAATGAAATAAAAGAAGGCATTACTTCATCGTTTTTTTATATCATTGCAGGCTATTACAACATAAAAATATAAAATTTTCAGTTTTCAACAGAATTTGATCAAATTTGAGATACAGCCATTTTATATTATTCTAAAATTGTGTGTAAAATTTTATAAAAATCTGACTACTATATCATATAGCTCCCAAAGGAACGATCGAGAAATTAATACAATTAAAAATAATGACAGCTTTTTCAGTTTTCAACAGATTTTTTTATGTAGGTGAATGAAATGAAAGCAGGTATTACTTCATCGTTTTTTAACATAAATATATATAATTTATATTTTATTGATTCCTAGTCATCCAAGTTCTATCTGCAACGGTATATAAACTTCGGCGTGCCGAAGTTAGCTTCCTTTGTTGTTTGTTTATTTTATAAAAATCTGAAGACCATATTATACAGCTGTCATTAAAACTACAGTTAAATGTAACGAGAAATGGCAAACTGTGAATGTACAACGGTAACTGTAACACTGTAAAGATAAAAAGTATAGGTAACTGTAATTAAAGTAGAAAATCCTACAACTGAACCCCCTACGAGAGGGCCGACTGGTTAATTGGCAGTTTATTATCTCGTACAACGGGGGATGCATTGCCGCATGCTCTGTTCGGGGTAAAGCAGGGTCTAGCTAAGATATCATGGCACACTAGCCATGGCTGAAGGAGCCTGGCGGCGGGCATAAAACGCAAATGGGTGGTTTCCAGTAAAACTAATCAGTTTGTATGGACAACATTACTATTTAAGACAGAAACCCAACCCGGGCTGGCATGTCAACCCTAACGTCGGTGGAGGGCGTGACTGCTACCGGAGGAACGGAGGGGAGCGATCCACAGTGGTTCAACGAGTTCAAATCATCAACTACACTTCCAATAAAAACTATTTGAAATTGATTTTGAAGTAAAGCTATTTATTTGAAGTTCCAATACTAATAAAAGTTAACTTGTTTAGTGTGAAAATATTTTAGTGTAATATGTTTTTTGTACATTTTTGCCCAATAATTTCTTCCGTAGTATTTTTTTTCCTGTCTTTTCAGATACTTGCAGATGTGTGCATTTTCAAAAATTTATTAACGCCGCCTCATTTTTCTTGAAATTTGCCATTAGAAGCAGCTCGAAACTATAATCGGAAGTGATTCCTGAGTGACAACATGAAAGGCTGCATAATGCATAGAAGCATCAGGAAATATGTCGCTACAAGGATTTGGGCAAAGTTGGTCGAGACATCAGCAGTAAATCTGACCGGATGTCAAAACAACAAAATTCATGGGACCTGAAGACTGGCAAACGGCTCAGGATATACTCCGTCGGCTCAAAGATGAAAGAAGAATTTGATGCGGGCATATAATGTACAGACCCTGAACTGAGGCTGTCATGTAAGCTAACATAAGGAAATAATAGCAGGAAATGTTATGAGTCCGAGGCAACCGAAACCTTAAAGAATCTCTTCTGTAAGTGCCCGGCCCTAACGCAGGGGAGATTAAGATACCAATGCGTCGCACTACTGGGATCAGTAGTAGATGACTCCAAGAGGACTGCTGCTGAACAACTTGCCTTCGCCAAAAACACCTTAATCTTCTAGGACTTCGAAATAACTTAAAATCTTCAAGTTTATACAAATGATATTCGGACAACAAAGGGCCAATTGGTTTTCCGGTTTAACCTAACCTAACCTAATTTATTTCAATGACAATATTCTCATCTTTATCCATCCATTAAGTTCTATGTCAAAAATGTTAAGAAATTACCAGACACATGATCCGTCAATTGCATATTGAATATATGTTTTGCGATGTTATTATAAACGATCTTCAATTAGTTTTAACTGAATGAATGCTATTAGCATCCAAACATTTATAGGCAAACATCCTTTAGATGAGAGGCATTTATCTTAGCATTTCATATATTTTCCCTACTACTTTTGCGATATGATCATTCCAGGTAAAAGTCTTCTTCAATGTTAATCCTTGATTCACGGCTTTTTAGACATACTCTAAGAGAGAGTGTCTATGCAGACAAATACTTGCCAGTGCACTGCTTTGAAGGTTCGATGTTTCTACATTTAAATTTTATTCATACGTATATCATGAATGAACACAGAGTGTAAATAACAAAATAATAATAATAATAAAATAAATAAATAGTCAAATTTTCAAATTCAGATGTCCCATTTGGCAGAACAATAAATTATATATGTACGTACGAGCAGATAAGCTTAACATAAGTTTTTTAGAAGAAAACATATTTCGGAACTTTGAACAGTTAATTTTTAGGTTTACTGTGAAACAAAAAAACTTACTATAGTCCAGTAAATCTAAAAATTAACATAAATATCGTGCTTTATTTCATTATATCGATAGTAATCATCATCTTATTTATCAGCTCGGTCAAATTTTGTTAACACCAAACGTAAGTCTAAAACAAATCCTTCCTGGCTTTTATTTGAAAAAAAAAACGAAAGCTCTTCTTTTAGACCTTCATTGTGTCAAGCCAGTGCTTGTGTGCTCAGGTATTGTGCCGGTTCAAAAGAACATTACTTTTCGCTCTACGCGGCCTATATTGGAATGCAAACCAAAGATTACCTTCTTAGACTAATAGACTCCTCCTAATTAACGTATCATCCCTAGCCAACCGTAGAACTATGCTTGACATTACCTTCATCTATAACCTTGAAAGTGCTGACTTGTTGAGTCAGCTTAATTTCCATGTACGAAGTAGAAATACTGATCCTATATCCCTTTAGTGTTGCACTACTGTAGAACCTCTTTCGAATAGTATAAACCTTTTAGAGTATTGTGTGCAAATTATAATGATTTGTACACACTAATCTCCAACGTACATAGTCTTCCCAAATTAAAATTTTTAATACTAACAAACTTAGAAAACAAGTAAGCAAACAATCTGGCAGCACGCCGGTAGTCAGTTTCCTCTTGTTCTGTCCTATATTTTCCATCGCGCCTACTAACACCTAACCCAAAAATACGACTTGAGTGTACTGACCGTAGTGCATTTATTGATCATATTTCGTCTATAGTGAATAGAGCCAGTACGGCGTCCACAGTAAACGCATCGAGTCGGTTCAAAAGAACTTTTTACTTTTCGCTCTACGCGGTTTAAATTGGGATGCAAACCAAAGATTACCTTCCTATTCTAATAGACTCCTCTTAATAAACTTACCGTCCTTAGCCAATCGTAGAATGCTAGGATGCTTTATTTATAACCTTATCCATGGTGATTTATTTTAAAAATAGCTCTGGTACAGCTTCAATGTTTTTTTAAATCCAGACTGATTATACATTAGCATACTTACTTTATCACATAAACTTCAGTTGTACTCTATGCTTCGAGAAGTAAAGACGTGTAACTGCGAGCGTTCTTCAGACCCAAGTCTTATCAGCTAAAAAACAACAACCACAAAAAAAACAAGTGTACAAGTGCACAAAACAAACTCAAAAAACAAAAACAAAATAAAATAAAAAACAACAACGTCTAGCAAGCTCCAGAGCAGGTAGAAAATATGTCACAGCAGGGCATCTGCTCTACGGCAACAACAAT